GTGTAAGATTGGACTGACTATGGTGCTTTCAACTGTTCTAATAGTCAGACGAATTTGTTTCGTTTTCTAGGAAGCTTGTAAAAACCTTCCCAGAATGCACTCATCCCTTTTCAGTCAAGTTAGCATTCTCTGCACAGCGCTGATGGCAAATGCAGTTGCAAGCTCTCCAAGTTGGCAGAGCTGTATACGTCTACTGCTGTTACTGCTCATTGATATCCTTGTAAAGAAATATTGACAATAACTGTGTTACACAACTATTGATTATGTAGAATGATGTTATTCTATCACCTCTGTCTTTTTGCATGCACATGGTAATTTTAAAATCGTTTGCAAGTAGACAACCTCGAGAATTGTGCAATTTTAATTTTCATGTTGCCTGTAAGATATATGAATCAATCAAATGCAACAACTTTGACTTTTATGATGTTCTTCTTGACAATGTTACATCTCTGGTCATCAGGCAATGCTGAGTTGCAGGAGGTTATTAAGAATAATGTGCAGCTAGAACCACTAGATAGACTGGTCACTGTCCAGTTGGATGACCACCAGAGGGCAGGAGTTGACACTCATAACTGTGAACCAGTGCAAGGAGCTGACATAGTCATCTATGCCTTGCGACTTCTACAGTTGATAGGAGAGAGAGACACGATTCATAGCTACATGCAGGTAGAAGTCTGCCACTATCTAAATGATAACTGAAATAAGGCTAAAACAGATTCTTTCTGTATTTGTGACCATGTATGTGTAAAGAAGTAGAGAAATGAAATTAACTTTGATCATTGGCTTAAGATCTTTCTCTTCTTACTAGTTCTTGGGTAATTGTGTGTAACACTTGGGTTTAGGAGAAATGAACAAAAGTGTTTGAATTCCAACAGTATCTGTATATATATATATATATATATATATATATATATATATATATGTCATTATGTGTTCAGGAGATCACTATGCCACGGGGACTGGGAAGGTGAAAAAGTTGTATCCACTTCATCCCTCCTCTACCTTCTCCAACCCTTCCCCTTTACTCTGACAACTTTTCTCTATCCTGAAATCCAGATGGTATGCTTCTAGATATGATCAGGATTACAGGAAGTACATAAATTTGTGTATTCCTGATAACATATTACCTAGCGTGACCAAGCCACGAGTCTAACGTCAATATAAAGCCTGACAACCACCCATTGCAAAATATTCTACCTCTATCAAAACTCTTGAACAGCTTCATATAATTATGTGAAAACATGATCTACTAATATTTTACTTTTTTTCTATTAACGAAGTATTTCTATGGCAAGAGTTTAAAACCGTCTTTTAATGTATAATTGTTTCTTGGAGCTAATACTAATAGACATTTTATTGCAGTGTTCAATTTTATTTAAAAAAATTATGGCATCAGTGTCATACTTGTCTTTTTACTACTTTGTGCATGCTTGCAGCTTGTCCACAGATATCTGAGCAAGAACGATGCATGGGAGGGTGTCACTATGTCACAAAACAAGGAGCTTCTGCTGTGTCTTACTGACATCACGATCAATCCTGGGAGTGAAATAACACTACTTGAGAAAGTGATAAGGCTCCTGCTAGGACTCAGTGAGTGAACATCCTCTGGAACTTTTAAAGTATTTAATACTTGAGTTGCAAAATGGCTGTAACTGGTTTCAACATGTTATTAAATAAATTCTGACACGTGTGTGTGCATGCGTGCGTGCGTGTGTGTGCGTGCGTGTGCATGCGTGTGTGTGCATGCGTGCATGTGCAAGCGTGCAAGTGTGTGCATGCATGCGTGCGTGTGTGTGCGAGCATTCCTGAGTGTCTAAGTGTGCATAAGTGCTAACGTTTTTATCCAAACACCATTATTTGTATAACTATCACTCATACTTTTGCGTATAGTTTCAAGAAAGCCCTCATTTTAATATGGTTCTTATTATTGTATCCCCCGCGACGAAGTCGGCGGTGATACTATGGTTTCACGTCTCCCCAGCCGCCGCCGCTGCAGACAATTTCCCTTCCGCTCTATAACTCGCACCCCTAACTTGACTAGCGGTACCAAAACTTTGGTAGACTTACACATCTTGGGAGAAGGTGAGCAGGCGCTACCAAAAATCAGGTCACTGCAACCTTTTTTGCCTTTACCTTGACCTTGATCCATGATTTCCCCTTGCGCTCTCTAACTCTGCCCCTAAGTTCGACCTAGCGCGCTACAAGACTTGGTATACGTTACAGCATCTTGCGGAAGAAGGTGAGGCAGCCGTACCAAAACCAGGTCACGTGCCGACCTTATTGACCTTTACCTCTGACCCATTGATCATATTTCCTTTCCCTCTTAACTCGCCGCCTATTTGGCCTAGCACTTATCCAAATCTTGCGTATACCTACACATCTTGTGGGAGAGAAGGTGGAGGCACCGTACCAAGACTCAGGTCACTGCGATCTATTTGACCCTTGATCGATATTTCCCTTCGCCTCTCTAACTCGGCCCTCTAATGTGACGCTAGCACTACAAACTTCGTATACTTACACATCTTGGTGGAAAGGTGCGCGCAGCGTACCAAAAGCCCAGGATCACTGCGACCTTTATTTGACCTTTACCTTAGACCGCTTTGATCATATTTCCCTTCGCTCTATCAACTCGGCTAATGACCTAGCGCTACCGAACAACCAGGTCCACTACGAACCTTTATTTCGACTTTACCTTGAGCCTTGACTCATATTTCCCCTTCCGTCATCCAACTCTCGCCGCGCTAATTTACTAGCGCTCCAAACTTGGTATACTTACACATCTTGGGAGAAGGTGCTGTGTCGCATACCAACAACCAGGTCACTACGACCTTTATCTTGTTCCTTACCTTGACCTTGATCATATTTTCCTTCCGCTCTATAACTCGGCCCTAATTGACCTAGCGCTACCAAACTTGCTATACTTACACATCTTGGGGAGAATGTGTGTGGCATACCAAAACCAGGTCACTGCAACCTTTATTTGACATTGACCTTGACCTTGACCTTCATCATATTTCCCTTCCGCTCTATAACTCGGCCCCTAATTGACCTAGTGCGACCAAACTTCGTGTACTTACACATCTTGGGGAGAATTAACACGGGGGATACATGTAGTTGGCGACAACTGCCCTTTCTAGTTATTGTTGGTATGTTGAATAGGTGCTATAAATTAATCAAAATTATATATGTGGGCTTTCATTGTCTGGCAATTGCGCAAACACTGAAAGTATGTGCTGTACATTGTATTGTTCTTGTTCAATTTTCACGTGTGTGAAGGCAAGAGTACAGAAGTTGTCAAGGAACTCCAATCACTGCAGCTCTGCTCAATCCTTGCTCTCAAAATCACGCAGCATCCACCGACAGAGGAAATTCTTGAATTGGTACATACTGTTTTAGTTCCTGACACTCGGTATTAACTCATATAACGATAGATGATTAATATATTTGCCCGATTAGGGAATCTTGAGTGACATTCGACTTTCAGAGCACATTTGAGATTAACATTTTTGACTGTTTTTGTTCCTGCAGTGTCTTAGATTACTTGCCAAAATCTCGTACAAAGATACTCAGGGCATCACATGTGTGGCCGAACTTATAGACACACTGGCATCTTTCATGTATGTATGCTGAAACATAGCCATTATGTGTTGAGGAAATTGGTATTTATTGTAAATTGGCATTTCTCTGAGTGCATATATCAACTATAAAAATGTCATTCTGTGCAATGGTTGGAGAAAATGTGTTGGTTGATTCCTAGTTGTTCCAGTTTCCCTCCTGATTCCTGGTTTTTTCCTAGAACCATAGCTGATATTCTCTATTTTTGTTGCGATAAATATGTCTCAATATAGGTTACTGTATTAATGAGTTGATTTCAAGACAGTGATTTCTCTATGTAAATGTTAGTTGATACTAAGTACTTTATTTTCTTACAGTTTAGCAGAAGAAAGATTACAGGTCAGTTTGACCATCCTTGCAAATCTGACAAGTAACTACAAGGTTGCAAGCACATGTATAAAGAAACTGGTTAGTAACATGAAAGTAAAGTTCATGCCATATTTTTGTTTGTGTCTTGCCTAATCATGGTGCCTATGACTTTGTGGTATACTGAGTGTGTAAAACAGTAAAGCTTAATAAGCCAACAAGTTTCACATAAACTATTATAGCTTACAATTTTATTCTGTTTAGATTCCAATTATTATCAATTACTGCTGCAGAAGAATTGTTGCGCAAAATATGATTCCTCTTTCATTTCAGGGAAACAGCAGAGCAGTGATTAAGAAGTTAATTATCCTCCTATCAAATCAGCCAAGCTTTCTGGTCGTTCTTGCACAGTCCATATTGACAAACGTTTGTTTGTGCTATCCGGAGCTTGGTGAAACGGTAAAGATGAGATTTTCTATTTCACATTTTTCTGAAAATTTGATTCTGTAGGTTAGTTTAGTAATGCACTCTAGGTACTCTACATCATTGAAATCTCCTCCATTTTAAATATTCATATCAAGTTATCCTTTGATCAATCTATTTACATTGATTGTGTGCTTACATAATATATAATATATTGAACCTGTGTGTATATAACATGTGGTGTAACTGTATGTCGTAAATGAGCCTGTGTGTGTTTAATCGCTGGTGTAACTATATGTCGTAAATGAGCCTGTGTGTGTTTAATCGCTGGTGTAACTATATAACATGAACCTGCCTGTGTGTATATAAGCTATGGTGTAATTGTATAACATGAACCAACTTGTGTGCAAATAATCTATGGTGCGACTTTATAACATGAACCGGCCTGTGTGTGTATATAACCTGTGGTGTAACTGTATTACATAAACCGGCTTGTGTGTATATAATCTGTGGTGTAACGTCGTATGTTTCCGCAGTGGTTCAGAACGAGCCGTAACGTCGGTCAGACCGTGCAGATAGTATTCAACGTGGTTCTGCGTGGCGACAATGAGCCAGAGCTGCAGCACTACGCCGTAGACCTGTTCATGACCGTGCTGCGCTCGAACAACCTCCGCCACTACCTGGACACAGCCACGTGAGTAGCTCACACACTACCTGCTACTTAGGTTTGCAGTTAAACAGTTTGTCTCAAGTCACTGACCGTTTGTGCCCCTAAGGAACTTCAAGTGAATAGGATATACTAATCTGCACGCATAGTATAATCAGGTGTGTCATCAGTGCTCGTGCTGTTCGTAACGTAGATATAGTGTGAGCAAATAGTGGCTAGACCTTAAGAACTGCATATATTAAAATGAAATCATGAACTACGTTTTGAAGCCAAGTTTGTCATTATGTGAGAACATATTTTGGTGTGGTTAAGTAGGAATTCTTAGTGTAGATCAGTTCTATTATTTTGTTTGCAGTCCAGAGCATATTTCTCATTGTTTGGATGAGGCAACTCGTAGGCTTTCATCTCTGCCACATGATTCTGCCACGAGAGTGAGTTGTTGTTTATTACCTGCTTAGATACTCTGAGACAAATTTGTGTGTAAATTCTATAATGATGGATTGAACTCATTCAAGATTTAAGAAAACAATTAATCATTACTGGAATTTATAAAATAAGTTATAGTTCTTATAAAAAAATGAATTAGCTGTTGTGAGATTTTATCATTTGGATAGTAATGTCAACTTAATGCAGTAACAGGAGGCAAGTAACAGAGATAATCAGTGCAGTGCTAGGTAGAGTTGCAAAATTTCATGAGATGGCCATTAGTCGATACTAATCTTTCATTTCTAACGTGGCATTAATGGCTTTGGCCATAGCCTAAAATGATTTCTTATTGGGTTATTTTACTGTTGCACCAGGCCAGATCTCCTAGTATGTCTCAATATGTGGGGATTCTCCCTCTCGGTGAATTCTGCATGGGTATTTCTAGATGTAGTTGTAACCCTTACCGACGTTCTGTGAGAAAGCTATAATTTAACATTGGTTTATTACGGGTTGTTATCTCCTGAATTTTTTTCTCTTTAGGTACTACAGCTACTATTAGCTCTTTGTGAACTAAAAGCTTCAAGAGAATATCTGTACAAGATATTTGGTGTATCTGGTCAGAAGCAAGACCTCACACTCACTCCGTTAGTGAGCCTGATTTCGCTCGCCTCTGACCCTAGTGCTAGTACCTGTGACAACACATCTCTATTGGCCTTGGACATGTTGCGAAAACTCATGAAGGTTTGATATTAATAATACAACAATTATTGTGTGTGTAAATGACACTTAAAAACATGACAGAAATGACAGTTTGGTTTCTGCAATGTGCTAGTGAACGTGTAAGATTGGACTGACTATGGTGCTTTCAACTGTTCTAATAGTCAGACGAATTTGTTTCGTTTTCTAGGAAGCTTGTAAAAAACCTTCCAGAATGCACTCGTCCCTTTTTCAGTCAAGTTAGCATTCTCTGCACAGCGCTGATGGCAAATGCAGTTGCAAGCTCTCCAAGTTGGCAGAGCTGTATACGTCTACTGCTGTTACTGCTCATGATATCCTTGTAAAGAAATATTGACAATAACTGTGTTACACAACTATTGATTATGTAGAATGATGTTATTCTATCACCTCTGTCTTTTTGCATGCACATGGTAATTTAAAATCGTTTGCAAGTAGACAACCTCGAGAATTGTGCAATTTTAATTTTTATGTTGCTGTAAAATATATGAATCAATCAAATGCACAACTTGGACTTTTATGATGTTCTTCTTGACAATGTTACATCTCTGGTCATCAGGCAATGCTGAGTTGCAGGAGTTATAAGAATAATGTGCAGCTAGAACCACTAGATAGACTGGTCACTGTCCAGTTGGATGACCACCAGAGGGCAGGAGGTGACACTCATAACTGTGAACCAGTGCAAGGAGCTGACATAGTCATCTATGCTTGCGACTTCTACAGTTGATAGAGAGAGAAGACACGATTCATAGCTACATGCAGGTAGAAGTCTGCCACTATCTAAATGATAACTGAAAATAAGGCTAAACACGATTCTTTCTGTATTTGTGACCATGTATGTGTAAAGAAGTAGAGAAATGAAATTAACTTTGATCATTGGCTTAAGATCTTTCTCTTCTTACTAGTTCTTGGTAATTGTGTGTAACACTTGGGTTTAGGAGAAATGAACAAAAGTGTTTGAATTCCAACAGTATCTGTATATATATATATAGTATATATATATATATATATATATATATATTATACAGTGTATTCTAGTATTATTCTTGTTATTATTGTTGTTATTTTCATGAATTGACTTGCTGCTGCATATAGGATCAAAGGATAGCAGAAGTGCTAGGAATGAGCCTGATAGGAGGCAGCACAGAGTCAGCCAGTGCAGCTCTTTACTTACTCCAATCAGCCATCAGCCGCAGTGCAAAGGTATAATAAGAAAAAGTCTATCAAAATAGTGTGGGACAACGGCCGGGTGTGCCTCATTGCTATTTCTGTTTAGTACTGCAGGTCTAACTATCAAATCATGGCCTGAACTTGATTATGGGTGTACTGCTGTGTGAAGTGGAATTGCCTACAAATACACAAATACTTCCATAATACTTTTTATGTTTGTAGGAGATTTGAAATAAAGTCGCCCTCTTACAAGAGGAAATAACGAGATGAAAATTTAGTAGCAATAGTCTAGCTGGAAGGGACTATTGAACTGTAAAATGTGTCACTCTGTTAAATACAGAGATGCAGACATGAAATACTGACCAACTAGGATTACATTTCAGATTTCCCTCAACTAATATCGTTGTTGTGTTTTTTGGTTTTTAGTCTGGCTGAGCAGTTGTCACGCATGGAAGCCAAGCGAAGACAGATGCTAACGATGTAGGCAAAGGAACCTTGCCAGCATTGGGCAGTGGTGACCTTACACAGAAATTTGAGAAACTAGCTGTAAGCAGATATAGAGGGTACCACTAGCTGTGACTTATAACGTACAATACACCTGATAATACAGTACACAATCTATTATCTGAAATTCTGAAAACGCGAAAGCTCCGAAAACGCAAAAGCTTTTTCGTGGATGTCGTCTGCACACCAAAGTCGCGTGTGGTGCCAAAACTCGACCCGACGATTATTAATGTGTTTGGCATTCATTATCATTACATATTGTACTGTACCAGTAACGCACTTGGTCTCTTGAAAACTTGGGTTTTAGAATTGGTTAGTCACAGAATATATGGTATGTATATCTATCTGTACTGTACTACCATTCCGAAATCCGAAAAATTTCGAATTTCGAAACGTGTCAGGTCCCAAGGGTTTCGATAATAATAATAGATTGTGTGTACTGTACCTACCTAATTGTACAGATGGTTAAAGAAATTTTACCTAATAGCAGTGGTAGTAACAGGTGCTGCTAGCTAATTGAAATTGACTGGGAAATATTAGGGGTTACAATGCCAAATTATATGTTTTAGCTCAGCTGACGAAGTCAGATCTCCCGCACCAAACACAGGAGCATTACCGACATCTTTTCCTCAAGCCTCGGCCGGCAAACACGGGAAACAAGGAAGGAACAGTTTAACAATACAACCAAGATGGAAGGAACAAAATCCTACTTATAAATCAACGTGCCTACATACATCGGGCACTCCCGGACTATCACACACAACCGAACTGGGAAAAGGTAATCGACCCACATAACACACTGGTCTAGATTCATCAATTGGCGTAGCAATTACCACGGTAAGCATATACACGCGCCTATTTAAACGTTGTCGCGGATAAATCGGTGTATATTTGTGATAATTATACAGAAATGAAGGTCTGCACAGTAAAGAAATATAGTGGGATTGCTAAATTAAGAATAAAGGTCGCAACTGTTAAATTTTAAAATATCGAACTTTGGCCGTGAGAAATTCGAATCGCGACAGCACCGGCAATACTCACAGTATCCTTCGTCGAGACGAAACACAATCAGTTAGGAAGCACTGGGAACCAACAAGTCGAAACCTGCTGTTCAGGCAGAGATAAGCATGATGCAATTGTCGAGATAGCAATGAATCGATATTGCACGTACAGAATGCGAGATATTGTCGAGATAGCAATGTAGATCGATAAGTACAAATAAGCAGTAATGCAAGACATTGCGAGATAGAAATGAGATTGATATTGCAAGATAGCAATGATCAAGAAGCAGTAATGTGAGAAATTACCGAGATAGGCAATGAGATCGATAAGTGCAAAGATAGCAGTAATGCAAGACATTCAGAGATAGAAATGAGATTGATATTGCAAGATAGCAAGATGCAAGAGTAGCAGTAATATGAGAATATTACCAGCAGATAGCAATGAATCGAAATAAGTGGGCAAGATAGCCAGTAAGCCAAGAATTGCCGAAATAGAAATGAGATTGATATGTAAGATAGCAATGAATGCAAGATAGCAGTAATCGAGATATTACCGAGAATAGCAATGAGATTGATATTGCAAGGGAGCAGTAAGTGAATTGGGCGAGATAGCAAATGAGATCGATATATTCGCAAAATGATATAATGCAACATAGTGCTCGAGGTAGCAATGAGATTGATATTTGTAATATAGCAAATGATCAAAATGCTGAG